TGAATCCTAAAAGTCTCCAGTGCTGGGGCAGCCACCTCTTCTCTGGAGAGATTATTCAAATGGCCAATTGTCCTCAATGAGAACATTTTCCTCTTGTGTCTAATTCAAATGTCCCCGGGAGTAACTTGTGCTCATCACCCCTCATCTTCTCCATGTGACCCCTTGTCACATGGAGTCTCCATCTTCTTGTAGCCACTTTTCAAGTTCTGCAGCAGTGAGCAGAGCCTGGTGCTGCCCTCCCCTCTCTGCAATGAGAGTCCTGTACCATCATGCTCTTGATGTGTCCTCCTCCTCCAGCTCTGCAGGGTCAGAGCCACAGGAGGACAGTGCTGGCTCTGCCCAGTTCTTGGACAAGAATGCTCAGTGGAAAACCCTGTGGAAGGGCCCTGCAGCAGCCCCAGGAGACAATCTGCAAAGCATCTGGAATGAAATACTGGTGGAATACCAGGGGTCAGGGCCTGGGAAGGCAGGGATGTCCACAAGAGCTGGGCAGTTTTCAAACACTGCTTCCTCCAAGCTGGTGGATCCTGTGAGGAAGAAATCAAGCAGAGGAGGCAGGAGACCTGCATGGAAGAGTAAGGAACTGCTGGGAAAAGGAAGAAAGAGGAAGGAAATTCACAGAATGTGGCAAATGACACCACGAGCACCTCCTGTGACCATTAGCATTGACCAAGCCCTCGTGCAGTGCAGGTGCTGCCATCCATCAGCTCTGCAACCCAGGGAGCACCCAGCCCCAGGGTTGGGTGCTGAGCAGCAGGGTGAGCAGGAGCTGCTGCCTGGGGAGCAGCTGATCCACAAAACATCCATCCATCTGCATTTTGCAGCTGCAGCAGCCTGGTAACTGCTGTGGACAGCTCAAGAGCAAGGCAGATGGTTGGCCTTCTGGAGAGTCAGCCCAAGGCTCCCCAAAAAGCCAGTGGAGGAGAACATTGACATTAGATTTCTCCAACAAGGAGGGCTGGATTCTCATCCCTGTGACAAGGAACTTGCAGCCACATGGTTATCACACAGGGTGGGTTGGTGCCCATGCCACAGCATTT